GCTGAGGGGAGGCGGGAATATACCGCCAGGGAAGGCACAGCTGTGGGCAAGCCATCACAGGGGGCTGGCAAACCGGGCCTGGGGCCAGCAACTTTGCGGGTCTGTGAGCTGAGAGGGCGAGCGGCACAACCCCCCCCTCTCCTCAGGCCGTGCCACCCCTCAGTGCTTCCAGGGCTTGGGGCAGGACCCGCTGCAGGTTGATGCCGTGAAAGACGAAATCAGGACTCAATAGTCGGGATGACTATTAAGCAGGTATTCTTTATTGCAGCGCTGGACGCACAGAGGATCGCTCCTCCAAATGTGCGTGCCACCTGAGACATTTCTCTTGAACTTATACAATGAAGTATTCCCTATTCATAAAGCGCCTATACATATATTCATAACCTGTCCCCGAAAGGGCAGTCTTTATTATAATGACTCTCTGCCTTTAATTCCTCCCAGCTGCTCATGCGCAGTGCTTCCTGGTGGTCGTGGGCCGGGGTCTTGGGATGAAGGCCGTATGTCTTCCTCGCTGTGCACTTTTCACCTTTTGGGATGATCGCCTTCTCAAGACAGCTGTGTTCCTTCTTTGAATCCCCTATCTCCCAGCAAGGTCGACATGACTGTTTTACTGCTTCAAGACATCCTTCCTTGTTTAAACATCCTTCCAGTAACTCATTAACATACCTTTGGGCCCCCCATAAAATAACATTGTGCTGGTCTCAGGATTATTCCCTACATGCCTGCCTTCCAGTTTTGTCCCTTATCGTAGCTCTGCAGGGGTTGCAGGCCCCTGTTCGTGGTCAGTCAGGCTACATTTGCTAAGTCATACCTGGCTTTATTCTTTAATTCAAAACAAACGGCGGTTCTGACATAGCATAGCCAAAGCATGCCAAAAGAGTAACAGAGACCTCACCCGCAACACTGCGCCTCCCGACAGTGGGAAAATTCCTGTATGAAGCTGGTGAAAGCTTTGAAAAGATGTGGCAAATCACTGAGGCTGCAGTCTCTGCTATGGTACTGGCAAATCAGTTCAGATCAGTTAGGTGTCTGTGTAAGGAATATGGCTCAGGTGCTTCCACAGACAATGTGTCTATTCTTTTTTAATGACCTTTCCTCCTAGAATCTTATTCCCTTCCAGTATTGTAGATATTAAGTGAATCTTCCCCTTTAGTTTGCCATCTCTTATTTTATAATAAAGTAGCAACACTAAACTTTACATACTATCTACCATGTCCATACTGCATTAATTATAAAGCTTTTTTTAAAAAGGAAAAGATTGGCACAGTTATATACGTTGCTCCTTACTCCTATGATTATTTCTTGTTACTATCCTGTTGGAGAAAAATGAGCATGTGAGGATATAAGACGTCCTGTGAAAATTTACAGTCCTGAACAGATAGTAGATCTTTAAGATAGATAGAACGAAAATCTAGGTGCTAATCTATCCTATGAAGGTTCTAAAAAAACCAAAGATTATGAATGTAAATTGAATATTTAAGCTCATTTATATAAAATCTAGTCATTTTTGGAATGCCTTTTTTTTTTTTTAGGACTGTCATATGGAACCATTATATGGTTCCATAAAAACAGAGATGTTCAAATACAGATAGACTAACACTTTATGTGGTGGTGGGAAAAAGTATTGCAAGAAATCCCAAAAAAGGGAGTCGGTTACTTGAAGGTAGTATATATAGATCACAAAGAATAGGCAAGATATTAAAAGAAAGAAAAAGCAAAGAGGATTAACAGAAAACAGGATGGGGAAATGAAAAAAAAAACAACAACAGTAGTCCTACAATTGGTATTACACCAAAGAGAATTCTGTCAAAAGTTCCTTTTTGTCTAGGGTGAAAAGGTTGTTCACTCACTTTTTTAATGCAAGGTTTGTATACTAGACTACAAAACTTTGAATTCCTATTGTTAAAATATTCCACAAACACAACATCCACCACATATTTATCTACCAAATTAGTACACTAGAAAATAGAGGTTGTATTATAAATGCTTTTGATAAATTTTGCTATGCAGTTGTGACTGAAGAATTGCTTTACCTCAATAGTACATCAGTTACAAAATGTTTGACCAATGTAAGCAAGCATGTTTTTTCAGGTAGTGATGCTGAACACAACAAGAAAAAAAAAGCTGTCTGTTATCTTTTACATCTTTTATGCAAATTCCCCTTTTGTACCTGTTGGTTTCCTGCTATTCATACTGACCCCTACAGACAAATAAAAATAGGTTTTCAGTAATGGAGGATGAATCCTCTTTTCTCGTCCTGAGTTAACTGCTTTGGTTTTAGATCCCATTTGAGTTTGGAACTTAAATATCACAACCTTAACAAAAATACCCAACACAACACCACAACATTTTAAATTAACTTTCACACCAATCAGTTTGCACCATCCTGGCAACCTCAGGTTTGACCTTGAAGCTACGTGTAGTAAAGCACATTTAAAAACATGCTATTGATATCAGTCATTCACACCAAAATAATATACTGCCTTTTCGTATCATTCCTGATAAATACTATCTTGGGCATTAAGAATCCCATCAACTTAAAATTAGTAATTAGTAAGATTATTTGTGTGTGAAAAGGAAGTCAAACATGGTTCAGTAAGAAGTGTTGTTCTCTCGTGAAAAACTGTATCAGGAAATGTTGCTTTACAAAAGATTTTATGAGTAATTTTTTTAAATATATATCTCATGGGAGAATATTATGTCTTTTTGTCTACTTCACTTTTTTTCTTTTCTATTTTGCCTTCCCAGCTGCTGGAGGGTGTACATTGTATGAGACAAAGAGGTTGAGAAGAGGGGTGAACCATACTGTATTTTGAATTCATAGTTTAAGGAAAAAATGAATCTTAGTTTAGGTGGAAAAAGTAGTTTGTGAAAATTTTAGTTTAAGAAAAAAAAATTGTTACCCTTGGGAAGCTTTGTATTTTAAGAAAATTAATTTGCTGGCCTTTTTTTACTTCCTAGCAGTCCCACCCTCACCCCACTTCTATTTTTGGACACCAGTATTGGGGATGAGCATAGTATTGGGGAGAAATAGGTTACTGTGTTTTAAGAAACCCTGCTCAAGATCCCATTATCTGGCACTTTCAGCTTTCTGTTTCTGCAGCAACAAACCGCGTATAAAACCTGGGCCCTGACAGCAGAATACCTGGCATTTTTGGAACGTGAGAAAAAGTGAGAGTCATGGCTATTGCTGCAGCTGGAAGAGATACTAAAGGAAAAGGAAGTGTTACCGATTCGCTTAACAGATGAATATTTTGCATTTTGGTCCAACGTCCCTCACCTTCTGTTCAGAAGTGCTGGTTCCCAAGGGAGAGAAGAAGGCAGCACGGAACATCACTGGGAGCCAGAAGGGTTTCCCTTCATCACAACGCTCCGGGTTGTGTCTGTGTGTGTGTGTCTCTTATTATGTGCCGTCGCTCTCTTAAAGCGCGCATCAATAATCCTTCAACTTTGACAAGGGCAAGTGTTTGCCCTCCCGGGTTTGCCCTGCCATGTGGGACACTGGCCACCAGGAGGCACTCATCCCACGCCTTGGGATGGCCTCCCACTGATTACTCCTGCTGCCGTCTTGCGCTAATTGGGAAGGCACAGGTCGGTTTGAATGTCACGACCATCATTAGCGATGGCCTTAACTACACCTATCGCGATGTAGTCAATATTCTGAAACGTAAAATAAGAGCCTCCAGTCGCTTCACTTGTTTTAATTTTTGTCAGTTAGGTTGACGGTTGGACAAGATGATCTTTAAGGTCCCTTCCAACCTAGAAGATTCTGTGATTCTGTGATTCTGTAATATCTTATTTTCCCCAGCTGGTGGTGGCAGGGAAATGGAGTCAAACAGGAGCACAAGTTCTCTGCGTCGTAGCTGTCAGCTGAAATAATAGAGAACACATATTAAATTGTTCTGTAGGAAATGAAAGAGAACTAGATCCAAGGTGGAAACTCATCTTTAGGATCTTGAAGAGAAATATAGACATCAAAGCCCAGGCAAACTTTTAAAAACTCTTTTCCTATGCTTTTCATAGAACTATTGGGAGTCCTCAGGCAACGCTGTCTGTCTAGAAAAATCCTGGCTCAAATACACCATTTTAAGGCACGAACTGAAGAAATAAATACCCAGATGAGTCTGTTTTAATGAGAGTTTTTAATCTCAGGGTTTTTTGCATCCCTCTCTACAGATGTCAAGGCAGTAAATCATTGCTCTCAAGAATGCTGAAGTTTATGGATAGATGCGTCTTTGATTAATAACTAGCATTTATTGTCTGGCATGGCCTGACTCTGAAATGTCTTCTTAAGTGAGCATGGTATTGGAAGCACTGATGGGAGTTAGGTAGATTATGGCTTTCAGTAACAGCGCATTCTATACCTACAGAGCTCCTAAATACCAAATGTGGTATTTTTTTCTCAGCCTTTCTCTAGCACAATTAAAATAAATTAAGTTTTTCCTTTTCTTTGCACCCTGTCTAAAGAACCTTACAGTGAAAGCAATAAAAAGTACCTTTTTATGTGAAAAAGGAAAATTCTAGCATTTGGCGTCAGATCGAATTTGGAGCAAAGGGGCTAGTATAATTTTTAAAAAGTAAACAAAATAAGACTCATTAACCACAGCAATAAACATTTATAATGCCTTTCA